CAATACAGTTTTAAGTTCAATATATTCTGAGAACTAAGAATACACAAATTTCATTGAAGACATGTGAGGTTAGATTATTTAGGAACATGTAGTTTTCATAATCCATGAAAAAGAAATTAGTGTAAGTTTAAACATCTTTCTTTCTCTCCCCACCTTTTCTTCCCAAAATACGTGTTAGATTTGCTGGATAACAATTTCATTTGGCTGAATAAAAAAGAAGCAGTAAATATTTATACCTCTTGCTGGAGGGGCTTCCACTTTCTTGGGAGGAGCAACTGGTTCTTTCTTTGCTGGTTCAGGTCTCTTCCGGACCTCTGGCACTTTAAATTATATGGAAAGACAGGGAGAAAATCTTTGACACAAAATGTACATGAAGAGTTCAAATTAATTCATTGATAGACGAATGTACTAAGCCATGGCAGCAGCAAAAAAAAGTAAGGTATTATATGAAATTAATACAAGATGCTGGGCAGGTCCCAGTTACTACCATCTACATAAGAAGTAGGTCCTTCTGTTCAAGGCCAGCTTCTTATCCAGTGGAGCAGTTCCACTGTTGGTACAGACTCCTATCTCCTCCGCATATTCCTATTTCCACTAAATCTGTTCAGCAACTCTTCCAAATAATACTGACATACTACCAGAGGAAGGGGTCAAATGGAAAAGATGGTTTCATCCTGAGGTGTCAGTTGAGTGAAACTGTTTAGACTACAAATAGGGGGGAATGCTGGTTCTAAGCCAAAATTGCCAAAGATATTTTACTTCTAAAATTTGAAAGTAAGTAGTTGCTACTCAAAAAAGAATCACCCTGCTAAAAGGGCTATACTGTAACAAAGAACACACAAACACACAGAGACAAAAAAAGAAACATGTAAATTAAGCTACCTTTATATGTGAAGAAGTTAATGAGATACCTTTAACTGGTGGCACTTCTTCGTGAACAGTAATATGCACTTCCTCCTCAGCATAGTAGGCCTCTTCTGTCAATGTAAAAGCATTGCTTAGAATAAATAGTTGGAATAAGAAAATTAGCAAAAGGAAAAATGAGTAAGAGTTACAAATTTGCTTCATTCACTGGACTGTATGCTATGCTTTTTCATGTTGTCTGCAAATGTATTCTCCAGTAGGACATAATGCATTGACAATTCAAAGAAATTAATGCCACATATATTTACAACTTGCAGAATGAAGGATCAATTATTTATGAGTCACATGCATTTATGTATACTGTGTGAGGGAATATCCACACATTGGGCCAGTTCAGACCCTGAAATGTTAAATAAGTTGTCAATGCCTGGAATGTACTACCTGACTCTGTGGTTTCTTCCCCAAACCCCCAAAACTTTAACCTTAGACTGTCTAAGAGGTCTGTGAGGGGCATGCATAAGCGCACCAATGTGCCTATCGTCCCTGTCCTACTGTCCCCTTTTATTCGTACCCATTTCATGTAATTATAATCATGTTCTAATTATATCTGTTATCTAATACATGCTTGATAAATAAATGAATGAATGAATGAATGAATGAATGAATAAACAAACAAACAAACAAATAAAGTGTCCATATCCTAGAGTCATTGGCTAACCAAGATTAAGATTCAGGAAGCTGTCTCAGAATGTCTTACATTGCATGTACGTGCACACATGGGTTAATTCTTTATTAAGTCCCTTGCTTATAAGATTCACTAACCTAAAACAACAGCAATAACAACAACAACAACAAATTTATCAGACTTGAATACCCTGATTCTACAAAAAACCACCCTACTTGGAACAGCTTATATCCGCTGACGCTAACTTAACAGTTCCTAGGTCCTTGGTTAGGACTCGAACTGTTGAGCTACCAACCTGCCCCAAAGGCTGTGAATCTCACTAAAGATTAAATAATAATAATAATAATAATAATAATAATAATAATAATAATAATAA